TAGTATTAGTATTAGTATTAGTATTAGTATTAGTATTAGTATTAGTATTAGTATTAGTATTAGTATTAGTACTATATAGTATAGTATAGTATAGTATAGTATAGTATAGTATAGTATAGTAATAGTATAGTATAGTATAGTATAGTATAGTAATTACAGTGCTTACCCACCGCCTACTGAAAGCCTTGAGCCCTCGCCCACAAATCTTTCGAACCCCCGGCCTGTTCAGTCTCCCAACAAAGGGCGATTTCGGCTTGGCCAAGTACACCGGACCCTCGCCAAGAACGCTTTGTGGGTCTTGCGTGCGTCTACACCTAAACACTAAACCCTAAACCTCTCAACCTCTAAGCCCTAAACCTCATAGAGCTTGCTGCAAGAACTCGAAGCTCCTTGGCGGGCTTTGCAAGGATTTTGCCGGAGAGCGGAGGGGGTAGGCCTAAACCCTGTAAACCCTATAAAGCCTTTTTGCCCTATACCCTAAGCCCTCAACCCTAAACCTTATACGAAAACCCTAAACGCAGGGCTTTGGCCTTTAGTGCTTGGGGTGCAGACTTTCGGTTCTCCGCCTTCTTGCCTTCTTCCACTCAGCTTAAACCCTAAACCCTAAACCCTAAACCTTAAACCCTAAACCCTAAACCCTAAACCCTAAAACAAAAATCACCCTAACCCCAAGACTTAGAATTTAGGGTACGGCGCTTTGCGGGCTCAGGTTGGCGTAAAGCCTCGAAAGTTTGCGGCTGAAGGTCTGCTGGTATGATGCATTTTGTTTGTGGTTTTAGGGTTGAGGGTTTAGGGGGGTTTAGGGTTTAGGGTTTAGGCTTATAAGGCTTATAAGGCTTCCCTAAACCCCCCCCCCCAGGTACCTACTATATAGGGCACTCGAGTTTTTAGGGCCCGATGTAGTAGGCACCCGGAGGGTTAGGGCTTGCTTTGGGGTTTAAGGTTTAGGGCCGTTTGCGGTCTAGTGTTTGGGCGGTTTCGGGGGTAAGGTTTATAGGGTTTAAGCGGCTCTCAAACCCTCAACCCGATAGATCCTAACCTCAAACCCTCAAATGGGGGGTTCCGAAAATAGGGGACCCTAATATAGTACCCTAAATAGTAGGATCCCTATTATAAGGACCCCAAAACAAGGTACCCCCCCTAATTTTCGGAAACTCCCATAAAATCTTGCTCCTTAGACTCCTACACCCTAAACCCTAAACCCTAAACCCTAAACCCTAAACCCTAATCCCTAAACCTAAACCTGAATCCTCCGAGGCCAAGGGCTGAAGACGCCCGTGGGCGCTGTGTCCTATGCTGCTCCTGAGGTTCCTCCTTGCGTGGTTGCATGAGGGCGTAGGGTTGACAGCGAAAGTTGGAACATAGGCTCAGGAGGATTAGTGCTAGGGTCCCTTGTACTTTCCCTTAAGGGTCTGGGGACAAGACATTGATGTTCCAACTTTCTGGCTTCTACTGTTGGGGTTTAAGCCTCAAGCTAAGGCTTGCCCTTCAGGACTCGTCTGGTTTGAGGACTTAGGTGGCTTAGGGCTTGCGGGCATAATCTATGGGTCTATGAGGGCGCAGTGGAATGGGTCAAGGCTTAAGGTTTCAGGGTTCAGGGTACCTGGAAGCCCCAAAAAAATTTGGGGATGCAGGTAGTTGAAGGGATGCTTCGCAGAAACTTTGTCTTGACTTCGCTGGGAGTCCTTCCGCTGACACTGTATCTGTAGGAGGTCCTTGACATGATGGGTGCCTGCCTTAGTTCCCCAATAACCCACCTTTAAACTTTTTGGGCTCTTAAAACCCTAAACCCTAAACCTTACATTTCCCTTTTTAGATTGGGGAAGTAAGCTGCTGAGAGTTCTTGCCACCACGATCCTGCCATTATGGGTTTCGTCTGTGCTTCTCACACCTTAAGTAGCCGGAGCTTGCCTGGCTTAGGTTTAGGGTGTAGGGTTCAGCGCCCTCTGCAATGCTTCAGCAAAGACCAGGTGCTCTCAGGGGACTACTCCGCTGCTTGCGACATGTGGAGCTGCGGTGTGATCTTGTCCCTGGGCGCGCGACTCCTCAGACCTACGACTGAAGCGGTCCGAAATCCAAAAGTAGAAGGCACTTACGTCCTTCTGGTGTTTAGGCGAGCGAAGATGCAGGGTCTTCAGCCAATGAAAAATGCAAGTTTCTGCAGAAGCTTGTGGTGGCGATCGGCCCCTGCCCTCAAGTGCACACTCTCCACCCCTGCAAAAGCCTAAAAAGCCCTAAAATATTTTGATTCTAACGAAGTACGACATGCTGTGGAGCCCTCTGGAACCTTCCTTTAAGCAGCGGACCGGCAAACCAAACTCACATCCAAAAGCAGAGCTTCCAGAGGTGTCGCAATAAGTAGTAATCGTCTCCCTTGAAAGTCCCTGAATCATGATACTATGATGTACCCGCCACTTTATCTCACCTGTGCAGGTAGAGTATTTTTTTGGGCCGGCAGGTTAGCCTAACTTATTCAGGCCCCTATGCGATCGTGTTTTGTAGAGTATTTTTTGCGGCCGGCAGGTTAGCCTAATTATTAAGGCCCCTATACGATCGTGTTTTGTAGAAGTGCTATCTTGTAGAAGTATCCTAACACCCTCAAAAAATAGGTAACATAATGGCCCAATACCAACAAAAGGCTATTGCTCTACACACTTTTTGGGGTCCTGGATAAGCTGAAGCAGAGGTACATATTGCTCTCCGGCCAGCAGCCGTTCTACGGAAGTACACCGCGGGAAGTCCGAAAGCAGGTGCGGTGGGCTCGTTCTTCGATCGCAGGGTCCCCTTAAAGGGTGCAAAAGGAGGCTTCCATGCGAGGGTCCCTTGTATAACAGTGCATGCTGCCGCTCTTGCTTGAATATCAGATCTTCCGTGGCGGTAGGTCCGCTCTAGCTGTTCTTGTTGTGTTGCTTGTGCGAGATACTGGCGCACGCGGGCAGGGATGAGACAGTCAGAACCTGCGTTATCATCTGAGGTGGTCAAGATCCATGTAATGCGGACTACCTTGTATTGATTGGTCTCTGATCCGGCCGCCGGCAAGTGGCGCATGTTGCCGTCTTGGCTTCATGTTGAGATACCCCGTTGCGGAAGGTGTGTTGTCCTCAGTAGCTTGCCGTTGGTGTAGGGCGAAGTCTTGGAGTACGAAGGCAGGGATGAGACAATCACAACCTGCGTTATCATCCGAGATGATGCGGTGCGGACCATGCATGTATTCGTATTGTCTGAGCCTGCAGACTGTGCATGTTCATGTCGTCGCTACTGTTCGGTCAGACCTTGGCCTCTGTTGTATTGGTTCTGACGCACACAGGCAGGGATGAGACCCTCAGAACCTGCGTTATCATCTGAGGTGGTCAAGATCCATGTAATGCGGACTACCCTGTATTGATTGGTCTCTGAGCCGGCCGCCGGCAAGTGGCGCATGTTGCCGTCTTGGCTTCATGTTGAGATACCCCGTTGCGGAAGGTGTGTTGTCCTCAGTAGCTTGCCGTTGGTGTAGGGCGAAGTCTTGGAGTACGAAGGCAGGGATGAGACAATCACAACCTGCGTTATCATCCGAGATGATGCGGTGCGGACCATGCATGTATTCGTATTGTCTGAGCCTGAATATTCTGGACTTTCATGTTGGTGCTGCCGTTTGATCAGGCTTTTGTCCGAGATTCCAGCACGCAGGCAGAGATGAGATTCACTGAGCCAGGCCGTAGAGTGCATGCTGCTGCTGCTGCTGCAGATTGATGTTGCAACAGCCCGTGGAGTGTATTTCTTTTGGCCATTGATGTCCTTTCGTGTTTTGCCTTGTCGCCCTTACAAATGATTGCTCTGCACTCGCACTCAACCTTTAAAGACTTTTTCGCGAGTATGTCCTCGCGATGTTCTGATTGGTAAATTTTGACCTTTTCTAAATGTTGCTCCCGGTTTTCTTGATAATGTTGTCGGCGTTGTTGTAGTCTCTGCTCCTTATCTTCTGCTTGATACTCCTTGGGTGATTGTCCGGCCATGTGTTTATTGACACATTGATTGTTCTTGATATAGTACCCTTCTCTTTTCCTCAATTCTTCAAGACAACCTGACGTGAACATCTCAACAATTTCTATTGTACAGTTGTCAAGCCCAAATTCGTCA